AAGTCTGATGAGCTAATGGCGCCCAGGAAGCCTTCGTCTTCCTCTGCTTCCTGACTGACGACATGAAAGGGTGCGCGTGACAGTGTGTCAGCGTCTTCATGCTTACGGCCGGACTTATGGACGATGGTGACGTCAAATTCCTGCAGCCGCAAGCTCCACCGTGCTAGCCGTCCTGAAGGGTCGCGCAGGCTTGCCAACCAGCAGAGGGCATGGTGGTCCGTCACTACCTTGAAGGGACGACCATAAAGGTACGGGCGAAACTTGGTGATTGCCCACACGACTGCGAGGCACTCTTTCTCCGTAGTGGAATAATTCGCCTCGGCACGGGATAGAGAGCGGCTGGCGTAGGCTATCACCCTTTTGATGTCGTCTTGACGCTGAACGAGCACTGCACCAAGCCCAACGTTACTAGCGTCAGTATGGACCTCCGTGTCAGCATCATCGTCGAAATGAGCGAGAACGGGTGCTGATTGCATGCGCTGTTGCAGTTCATCAAAAGCTGCTTGTTGCTCGTTTTCCCAGACAAACGGCGTGTCGTCCCTTGTGAGACGAGTCAGAGGTTCTGCTATCTGTGAAAAGCCATGAATGAACCGGCGATAGTAGGCGCACAAACCAAGGAAGCGCTGGACGGCTTTCTTATCGACAGGAGCTGGTAATTCGGCAACAGCGGCAAGCTTGTCTGGATCGGGCCCGACTCCTTCAGCGCTAACTACATGTCCAAAAAATTTCAGTTCTTCATAGCCGAAGTGGCACTTCTGTGGCTTTAGAGTGAGGTCCGCCGATCGGATAGCCTCCAGCACGCTGCGCAGGCGCTGTAGGTGCTGCTCGAACGTGGCAGAGAAGACCACCACATCATCAAGGTAGACAAGACAAGTCTGCCACTTGAGCCCTGTGAGGACAGTGTCCATCATTCGCTGGAAAGTTGCCGGCGCTGAACACAAGCCGAAAGGGAGTACTCGAAATTGGTATAGGCCGTCTGGAGTCACGAAGGCTGTCTTTCCGCGGTCTCGCTGATCTACCTCGATTTGCCAGTACCCGCTTTCGAGATCGAGAGAAGTGAAATAATGGGCACGACGAAGTCTATCCAGCGAATCGTCAATACGCGGTAGCGGGTACACATCCTTTTTGGTCACGTTGTTGAGCTTTCGGTAATCGACGCAGAAGCGTAGCGATCCGTCCTTCTTTCTGACAAGCACGACTGGAGATGACCACGGGCTGTTGGATGGTTCGATAACGCCATCGTCAAGCATCTCGCGAACTTGCGTACGTATCGCTTCACGTTCTTTAGCCGACACGCGGTAGGGGTGCTGGTGTATTGGGCGTGCGTCCTCGCCTCGTACGTGATGATCCTGTGCTGAGTGATGGACGTTTGGCGGATCTTTGAGCAACTTGCGAAGCAAGACCTGTACTCGAACAAGAGCGCTCGCAGCGCAGTCTGGTTATCGGTGGACAGATCAGGATTGATGTCAATGTTGCTCATTGACGTGTCTGTGTTATCCACTATTTCTGACGTGGGACAGTTGGTTACGTTTGCTACTTCGTGGGCAAACGCTATCGAAGTGCCACGGAAAAGGTATCGATGCTCGTTGCTAAAGTTGGTAACGAGCAATTCAGATCGGCCGTCGCGAACGTGTATTACACTTCTCGCTACACATATGCCTTGCTGCAGGAGGTGTTCTAAGTTTGTCTCGGCCACCACATCGCCATCGTTCAAACCACAGCATGTTACGTCGACTAGAACACGGGCTGGGAGAGGAAGCGTCACGCTCTGTTCAGAAATACGGAGTACGTCGACACGCATACCGTCATCCTGCACGTTGATTGCTCGCTGGGCTGAGAACGTGACGCGGCGCTCTTGCAGATCAATGATAGCTCCATTTTCCTGTAGAAAATCAACTGCCAGAATGACGTCACGGGAGCATTCACGTAGAACAAGGCAGCTTGCTACGAATGTGTACCCTTGAATCTGTACTCTAGTTGTGCAGGCACCCAGTGGAGTTACGACATGGCCACCAGCTGTCCGAATGTGCGAGTTATGCCACGGCGTGATTACTTTCTTCAGCTGCGTTGTCAGTTTCCCGCTCAGTATGGAATAGTCTGCGCCGGTGTCTACTAACGCATTAACTACACAACCATCAATTGTTACTGCTATGTCGAGTGAAAGTCGGCTATCCTTTGCAGCAGCAGGTGATGTCGGACCAGTTTCTGTACGGTTCTGCGTCAATAGGAGGTCTTCAGCGCTTCGACGTTCAGCGACCCCGCCCCCAGAGGTCGCTTCGGCTAGTTTTCCCGGCGGGGGCTGGCAGATCGTGCGGTAGAATACCGCTGGGGCATTGATGAAAATCGCCTCGGTGATGGCGAGCGCGACTGGCGCCCGGCAGACGGTGGTTCATGCTGCTGGAAGAGGTAGTTTTGGATGTCGCGTGGTCTCTGACCGTAACGGGGGGGCGGCGAGTACGCAGAGAAGCCGCGAAGCCCAAGACGGCGATAAGGACACTGGCGGTACAAGTGATCAGCTTCTCCGCAATGAAAGCATAGAGGCCGGTGATCGGGTGTGCGCCAGACATCAGACTTCCGAGGATACGAGTGCCGATCGTCGATGTACTGGACCGGTTGCACCGAACGGCGGGCAACAGAAGCACCACGGCCAAAGGGCAGGGGCGGTGGCGTGTGCGTGCCTTCGTCGTATGGTATGTGCTGCGCTGACTCGAGTGAAACTGCAGGGACAGGATGAACGAACAAAGGCGGCGATGCAGCAGGGCGTTTCAAGGCTTCCGCGTAGGTTGTCTTACGGTGGTATTCAGCAGGAGCTGACGCAGCTGTATCAGGAGGCAAGGTGTCCCGGAGGGCCTGGTGCAGCTCATCATTGATGACAGTTGCAATAGAGCTAACCGTAGGATGAGGTGTTACACCAGCCTTTTGCAACTCTTCACGTACGATATTACGGATGAGTTCACGTAAGGAGTCATTGCTGGTCCCAGCGACGGCGAAAATGTCAGCAGTGGACATGCCACTGACTTGCCTGTCGTATTGGTTTGATCACTGCTGTAGCATTTTTTCTATTGTCACGGCTTCAGAGAAGAACTCCGCGACCGTCTTCGGAGGGCTTCGCACGAGGCCGGCGAAAAGCTGGTCCTTGACACCACGCATCAAGTGACGCAACTTCTTGTCCTCCGTCATTCTTGAATCTGCCCGTCGGAAGAGACGCGTCATGTCTTCGACGTACGCGGTCACAGTTTCGTTTGGCGACTGGACGCGGGCAAGAATAGCTCGTTCAGCTCTTTCTTGGCGGTCAGCGCTGGCATATGTCTGCAGAAGTCTACGAGAGAATTCAGGCCACGTCGTCAGCTGCTCCTCTCAATTTTGCTACCACGTGCGAGCACCGTCTTCGAGATAGAAGTAGACACGACCCAGTTTCGCCGCGTTGTCCCACTGATTCAAGTTGGCTACGCGCTCGAAGTCCGCCAACCAGTCCTCAACGTCTTCGCTCTCCGTACCATGGAACGTCGTCAGTGCCCGTGGGCTTTCCAACGTATATCGGTTCGACGACGTGCTTCCCGTGCCGGTTGGCAAGGTTTGTACCGAAGTGCTGGTCATGTTTGTTGACGTGGTGGTAGCAGTATCGTTGACTTGTCCGATGCACGGGAGTATTGACTGGCACTGGACTCGCACTACGGCTTCCTGGGGGGGTCTGCAGCATCCGTGAGACTACCCAGCACCTTCCACCAGTTTGTCACGATGAGTCACAAGTACTGGGGGATATATTGAACGACCGGGTAGCTAGCTCTAGGACGATGCGTCAGTCGTGGCTGGCTCTCGAGCCGAGAAGATTTGTTTTGTTTTGTTTCCCTGGGAGGTTGGCTCATACCCACTCAGGGGGATTGGCCAAGAAAGTGTAGTGCAGTTTTTCTGTGATCATTTTAACTATGTGTAATGAATTGGTATTATAATAAGACTAAAGTAAAAATAAAAACAACATAAAAAGAGCAAACGAAAAAAAAATCAAGTTGAGCAATTTTGAGATTTGAGGTGTTATGTTTACCACTCAGCTGCGTTTACTTCACTCTGCCCTTGGGAGTAATAAATAATTTTTTTTGATTGAAGATCACAAAGGTATACGCTTGGTTGCCTGAATATAATCGCAAACGGCATTGAAAGCATCCCTGTGGCAATGTCCCAAAGCTGAGGCGCCAAAGCTTAGCGCCGTTTCTGCCGTCAATGTAAGGCCTATTTTCCGAAATGGCATAACTAGTAACCTTTTTCTAAGTATCTCGTAGCGGCGACAATACAAAAAATAATGATCTAGTGATTCCATTTCTCCGCAGAATGCGCAGAGGGGTGTAATGTCTGACCAGCTCTGTGTAGATACAGGTTTAGGGGGGGGGGACACGACATCGAAATTTAGTAATTAAGACTTCGAGAAGAGACACGCAAATCTTCTTTCTTTCCTCCAGATGGTAGAGCCGCTCTTGCAGTCGACCCACTACGTGTGGGTGGCAATACGGTGGGCTCATCCACCGTGGTGGCACCACAGGACGACAACGAAAGTGCCGATGACGCATACGCTGACGCGGGCCTGCAGAACATCAACACCGCGCATTCCTTTACGATGGTAGAGGAGCTCAATGGCGCGAAATATCCGATGACCTCCGGGGCGACAAGAAGAAAACCGGTGAGTGCCGGAGGAGTGAACAGGATGTCGGCGTAGCGGTGGACGTCGTGTGTGAAGACGCCACGGGACAACACAATGCTGCGGCTCAATAAAAAAATGAAACGGAAGAAGCGCTAAATAGGAGGAAGAAACCGAGAGCCATGGAACGCAGTCACGCGATAATAACATCAGATGAATCATAGTCTGGTGGCAAGGTGGTTCACACTCGTGACCTTGAAAAAGCCAAGAATACCCTTGAAGCCGAAGTGGATCGTCTGAAGCAGGACACACGGCGTCATACAACCCGCACCAACCTGTTAGAACGAGAGCTGGGAAGCTTGGCTGATCCATGACTTGGACCTTCAGTGACCTTATCCAGAAGATGGGAAAGAAACGGCTGTCGCTTCCTGACACTGTCTTTTATGACATAGACAGTGAAGAAGAGACAACTGAAAAGGTAACATACATGATACTTTTTGTTTTCTTGAAATCGTCCGTGACCTGCATCAGGCACCTGGCGAAAAAGTGACTACTGCATTTTCAAATATAGGTGCTAATACTATGCTGTCAGATTTGGTACTCATAGCACTTATAACTGTATTGAAATGTCATATTTCTAAATTTCATGAAGCTGCAAAACAAGCACGAGATGTTCCCCCGTGGCTGTGTTTGGCAGTTTTATAGCAGTGGAAGCTGCTCAGAAGTTCTTTGAAAGGACAATAGCCTTGGAGAGCTCTTCTTACGGGGCACTATGTGTAGATAATGCAGCTAGCGTACACTGAGCATCAATTTTGAAGTGGTGATAAAATTACAGCTTCTTGAATAATCGCCCTCCCAGTAGACAATTCCCATTTCGCTGTTTTATATTGAGCAACAGTCTTCTGATGTGTACGCGACACAGGAGATGCAAAGACAGGGTTGCAGCGCTCTTACAACCGATAGGTGGCAAAACATACTGAGAAACTCTCCCATTGCTTTCGCAACAGTTGAGAAGGCCTTAAGGAAAGGAGCATGCATGTGCAGTCTGTTGTGGCCATTGTCTGACAAAGAGGGGAGGGGGGTCCTTACAGGGTATTAGGACAAAAAGTGCTGTAGAATACTCGTTATAACTTGATTATTTATGAAAAAGTCAATGATAACTGGTAAATAATGACAAGTAAACCTAATTGAATTACCCAGAATGTTAGTTTTGGGAAAGTAATTGATTACTTGAAACTCGTGTATAAATCTGATCAGTGTACACTAAGCTAGGTAGGCATAATATGGCTGCTTGTTACACAAATGATAACTTTGCCTTGCACAGAGTGACATTAGAGAGATTGGCAGGCAAAGAGCAGCAACTTCCAGCAATTTGGTTACAATTTACATAGTGAGCTATGTTAAATTTCACAGATGTGCATTTGTCAGCTTTTTAGATGACATTGTGTGTTAGTGTTGTCGCTTTTATCCTATTATGTGGCAAAAGTTGGTATGGCATAGTTGGTTTTGTTGCAGTCATGGTAACTATGTGTTTATTGATGTTGTGATGCAGCTAAGAATTTTTCTTGACAATTTAGCGCAAGTCGGGGGGGTGCGGAAATTGCACTGTTTGAAATCGAATATCACTGCAACTGTGGTGGCTGTGGTGGTTATCATTGCGCCTTGCAATGTGAGAGATGTTATACCCTTGTCACATGGCAAATTCAATGCCATTCACAACAAATAACATTAAGCGGACCTAATTCCATTTTACCTGCGTGCTGTCCCATGACAAAAACAAATGTCGTTTTGAAATGATGACCATGACCTCAGCCCCCCTGACCCATGGCTTTGGGAAAAATAAACATATAATAAATATTGTTTGTCACATGCGTGTATCCACAAAAATAACTTTTATGGGTGGAAAGGTGCACCTATAATAAAAAAAACTGGCAGGTTTAAATAACTTGTCACAGCACACTCGAATACGGTTGGCCGACGGTATGACCGGGCATGAGTACAGTCAACTGAAGCAGTGTGCACAACTGACTCCCCCGCTGCAGAAATGAGACGGCAGCAACGATTTCGTGTAGTCACCACCTTGGTCACCACATGATTATATCCACAATACAGGCAATAATGACAACAGGGCACAAACGAAACATGCCCTGCATTCAGCTGCTGTCATGGAGAATAGCTTCTTTTTAACGCTATGGCATTAGAGAGCTCGATTTGCAGAAATTCCGGCGTAGGCATCATTGGTTGTGAGCGAAAAATCATCTTATGCGCTACTGAAAAACTGAGAATGATGCAAATAAAATAAACAATAAAAATTCTTGAGACGCAGTTCGTTTGCATGGCAAGCGGATGTTCTACCACACGGCCACGCATCTGTTTGGAAATACAATGAACGAACTTCCTCTGCTTAGAAATGCAGTGAAATTACCTTTCATACTTAACAAACACACACGTCCTGTATACATGCTTTACAACGCAACATGAAATATTGCAGTAATAATGCGTGGTACAACCTGCCATTTCTAGCGGGCGTCATCACATGTCATTATCATAATTGCTTGGAGGTTTAAAACCGGTCACCCACTACCAAAGGCACATGCGCTACTGTGCCTATTCCCTTAAGGCCACGTAGTGGGTGCGTAAGAAGTTCGAAAAGGTTTCATGCACGAAGTGTTCGATGCACGTAGTAGCAACAGGATATCCTTATCGCCCTCAACTCCTAAAAAAAAGCTTTAGAGTCCCTTAGTTTGTTTTTTTTAACTTTTGCACCTGCTATCATGTCATCAACCCAGTAATAAGTTGAGCTAGTAAGTAACAAGATCTTCATAAATTATAAAATGTATCTATACTGAAGATATAGCCATTTCCCTAAAAGTCCCAGACAATGAGACTACTCAGTCAGAAATCAAATGCGATTGTGTTGCAGGAACTCGTTCCACAGAAAAGGGCGTTTTCATCAATTGGCATTAGTTTCCCCATGTGACAGCAACGAAAGGACATTGCAAACGAAGGACACTAGATTTGCTGTGTGACAGGGTGTTAGAATGCTCACTAGTCATGGCTGGAATACGCTACATATCATTTTAACATATGGTGTGGTAGCGCAAATTTGATGGGGACACTGAGGACAAGAAAACACTGCACTCGCTAGTCTCACAAACAGTGGCGTGTTTTCTTGTCCTCTGTGTCCCCGTCGAGGTTGCGCTACTATACCATATGTTGAAATGATATCTCACCAACTAGCCCAGCTTTCAACACTACTGAACTTCATACGCTAGGTAGTTGCTACAACCTGAATTATGTTTGTATCAATGGAGCGTGTATGTTTCCTGGCATATTTGCTCGTTTTCGGCTTCTAATCAGTGATGTTGGCTTTGGGTTGATGTGTTTATTTGCTAGCATTCAAAACAGAAAAAAGAAAAAAATCAGCAACCAAGAACAAAGAGGCGCCGAAGCAATGCGAGCTCCGAAGAAGAGCTTGTCGAACTGAATCGGCTCGAAAAAGAGAGGAACCTTACGAGCAGCTCATGAAAAAAAAAAGACTGGAGGAAAGAATAGAAGTACTTGACAAGAGAAATAACAAGCTTCAAGACACGCTGCAAAACGAACTCTTAAGTTATATTTATTCCATGCTGCCTTTTAGAATTTTTTAAAAAATGATTTTTCATGCAGTCAGTGAGTGCTGTAGGTATGTGTACCCTAACACATTTTCTTTGGCATCTTCATGTTATTTCGATGCTTTTTGTTCCACAATAAGGAATGGGTACCTGAAATAGCCCTCTGAATTAATGTTGTACAGTCGACATCCGATTTCGCGGACACTCAAGGAATTGCGAAAGGTCCGGAAAATCAGGCAGTCTGGAAAAACGAATGCAAGTAAAAATACACTTTTTGAATAGGTATTTTTCACTGACGGAAAGGGTCACGGCAGAAGTACAGGATTCTCGTTGCAATTCAGCAAGTGCATCATTTAGGTGGCCTCGAAAAGAGCCGTTTGTAATAAAAAAAGCGAAAAGAAAAAAAATTTGATGTGACCCACGCTATAGTGCGTTTGTAAAATTTAAGCGCTAAAAGGACTCGCTTATTTTCGTTTGCACGGAGTTCCACTTGCCCCAATTATGTTTGCCTCAATATCAGCTGATGTCATGCTGTCACTCTACACCTATGACGATGTCATGCTCGCGTCAACACCATACTTGTTGCCCGTGTAGGCTCTGCCTCTTTGATCCCTGGGTCGGAGTTGTCGAAACCTTTAGTAACTTGAATGATTTCGTCACCGGTAATATCCACACACAGCTCAAGATTTTCGCTTGTGTCGGGAAAGCCCTCAAAGGTTATCCCGACTGAAATTGAAACACCAGCACCGTGCGGGTCGTTGAAGCAACGACCGCAGTTGGAAGTTCTTTACACACTCTGACGTCTCTAGGTGAGAGTGCCGTCTCGGCGTACATTTTAAAGCTGGCGTGGCAAAAACAGTTCCTGGAAGTCTGTTGCATTACCGCCTTCTATGAGTCGGGAAGCATGCCGACGGCAGACTATAGGTCAACAGCGTAGCTTTCCCGCCGGAGCACAGCCTTATAGTAACATTAGTAACAGCACCATGCAGTTGTGGCCACAGGTTTGTCTAAGCCACGGCTGGCTACAAATTGGCGTGAGCTGGATTCCGGCCTTTGCGGTGTCGAGGGTACGGCAGCCACGTCACAGTGGGTTCAAGGGTACGAAAAGAACCAAAATCGTGGCGCTGATAGTGACTTAAAGTCTGCTCTTAGCAGTAAAAAGTTAGCAGTAAAATCGGACGGTGAAAGCTATAAATGTCCGAAAGTTTGGACTTTTTAATACATTGACTGTATGAGGAACTTGATGGTGCCACAGATCAGTCCGGGAAATCAGGCATGTCCAGGATTTCGGTAGTCCTAGAAATCGGACGTTAACTGTATGATCAGAGTTAAAAAGTCAAAACAATGCAGCCCTTTATGGAATCAGATTTGTGTGAGAGAGTGGCCACTTAGTATGGAAACAGCTGTTATAGCTGCTGAATGGTGTTTCCTTCTGCGACAGTGCAGTGGTTACAGCAGCACTAGCAGGAAACAGCAGCCAGCAAAGCATATGTTCTGTATGAATGGACTCCGCTCCTCCTACCCTTTTCACCAAACTGTAGACGGCTCCATCAAGGTAACAGAAAAAATTGTGACTTTAGGCACGATGCCATCAGACACCACCCATCAAAGTACATTCTTTCTCATTATATTCATATGTACCGAAGGGGGGGGGTCAGGCGGCTTAGCAGATGAGGAACTTATAACGTCACGACCCACCCTGCTGGAACCATTAGGTTTCTTCAAAAAAATTCTGTAACAAAAATGCATCTCTTTAGCAGGAATCAACCATTACAGAGGACTGCCTTTGAAAACTATAAGGAACAGTTTGAATTGTCTGACACTTAAAAGAGTTGTTAGTGCACAACTGTCTCAAGAGCAGGGCTGGGCAGTATCGCGATAGTATTTGAGAGATACTTTTGAGTGTCGGTATTGCTGTATTGAGATACTTCTTAAAAATGAATTTGTATCTCAGTAGTGAGATACTTTTACGATGTATCGCCCGTATCGCAATACTATCCAGGGCATGGGTATGTGGTAACTTTTTTTTCGGAAATGAGCTGAGACGTGTTTACAATGGCAAAAAAACATATGCTGCGATCTTAGCATTGTGTGGCGAGATATGCACCCACCATTTATACATTTATTCTCAGGGGGTAACTGACTCCTACCTTCTTGATAGTGAGCTAGTTGCTTTCCTAGCCGCATATCATTGTGCATGCAGAACTGGAATGTCTTTGAATAATCACCTGCTTGGGAGCTTGCCAATAATGTTATACTGTCATTTTGAATTCCAGCAATGAGGAGCATTGAATATGGCTCATAAGGCGCCAACCAACAGCGTCGTTTTTAAATTGTGTTCCCTCATGCTAATTTAACGAGCAGTGCTTCTTTTTTCTCGTTTCTTTCCTGTTTTTTGCGACATCTATTTGAAAAAGCGGAGCTTATTGAGGAAGCCACAAACCAACCAAAACATTTGGTGTGTGGTGCCGTGTGCCATCAACAATACTTCTTTCTACAAAGCATTTCTGGAAGACAGCAAGTGCGGCCACACGCTTGCTAGTCTTAGTCAAATGTGACCAGTGCAGTTTGAAGTTTCCCGTCTACAGAAAAAGCGCACAACATCAAGTACCGGCATTTACATGGTGCAACAATTAGAACCAATAGCATCTGCACAATGCAGACTAGCAGGGCTGCTGACCTACAGCAAGTGCACAGAGATCTCTTAGCATACGGCTACTCGAACTCTGGTTAAACGCCAGCTCTTTCAGCCGCAAAGATCTGACCGTGTGTTCCCAAGAAAACGTGCCGCTATACTGTACCTGTCTGATGCGTGCGCGTCAGGCACTAGTTCGAAAACCATTACGATGTCCAAGTAGTTCCGTTCCTACAAATTGCATTATCGGCTCGTAAATATGAAGGACAAAAAAGAAAGGTATCTTGATGCTTATTGGATACCTTGTAGACTGTGGTTGTGTATATATCAGTGAGACTGGAAATTTTGAACATCAGGTCAGACAGCATGTCAATGATGTCAAGGAGGTAAAGGTGTCTTCCAATGCCTTGGCAAAACACCCTGAAAACTTGAGCAATAAAATAGATTAGCATAACCACATAAGCTTAGAAAAAAAACTCTTCAGGACACCACTTGCAATCAATGCTGATTTAAACAATGGATACACATAACAAATGGAACCATTGATAACACATGGAACCTTCTTTCTTATCTACACTCGCTGGTTTTCAGTGACTTTTGAAGTCCTCATAAGCAAATTTTCACTCCGTCTAGTTATTACTCTGAACAAGACTCCCATCATGAGAGCTGAAATGTCTTATTTGTATTCCTTTTCGTGGTTGGTGTCATTAATTTATCATGTTCTCACCCTAACAGGCTTCAGTCAATATCTCAACTTCACCCATCTTTTTGAGTGGAAAGTATACTACACTATGCATGGCATTAATTTCCTTTTGTTTATAACACGTTTTCTAGAGAGTAAATTGGTAAGGCAACTTGGTTGGAGCACTTCAGAGTATGAAAGAGCTTTATGGCACCCGAGGATTTTAGCAAAAAGCACTCCGGTAAAATCGGGAACAATATCAGCCTGACGCGCTGGTGTAGCTTTGAGCAAATACAACATAATTATGTTTGTAATATTCAGGTTGTAATATATTAAAGTTCTGAAAAAGTAATCCTTCTTTCAGGACGCAATTAAGAAATTTGCGCTCTTTATTTTTCACATTTGCTCTCTTACAGAAACATTGGCCAGCCTTTCCTGTTGCGGCCACCAATGCAGCACAAGCACATCTACTAATCATGGCGCCTATGAACATGAGGCCACCACAGGAGCATTCAAGAGAAGGTATGAGCATGTGACAACGCATTAAGATGCTTCATCAAGTGCGAAAAGTGGCCTTCACCACCAACAAAAGTGACAAATATTACCTTGTAATGCCATCATCGTGGCATCAGAAATAAGTTTCCCAAATTGGTCGTGTCATCACGACGTCACATGATATCATTGCTTGTTCTAAGGTTGCCTATCCCGGAGGCATATGCGAAACAACTGGGAGTGCAGAAAGCTGTTGGGAATCGTGGTGGGTCAATACAATCGACTTAAAAGAAAAAGAAGATTTTCGTTATCTGTTGTTTTAAAGCAGCCGTGAAGGGGAATGAAGCTGTGCCCAGTTGTTATTTTCCTGCATCAGTAATGATTAGACACGGCGATTTCAAAACATTTCGATGCAATATTCAGTCAACCGTGTGCATCATCACACATTGCTGCACAACTTATGAAAGAGGAAATATCTTTATGGTGGCACAATCGAACCAGTATGGTACTACAAACCTCACTCAACTATGGCTTGGCAAACATGGCTGCGCTGCCATGTTTTGTTAACGGAGACTTCTCATGGGTCGACTTGAAGTGATGTCAGCAGTACAGTTGAGGCAAATGTGCGAGCTGGAGAATCAAAGTTGTCGAACTTTATTGTTGGATTACCGGTCCAGAAACCTTTTGTGCCAAGGAAGTGCTTATTTTAAAATAAAATCATGTTTTAGTGGTCTGCATCAGGTAGCGCACTTTAATTTACCCGCCTCAAGAAGTGTAAAGTCTCACGTCACTGTTGCCAGTGCACAACGTTGCCCGGCTTTTTACTGTACGGTCGCCGACACTACTAGCGAAACTAAAGCACCAGGAGCCGCATCAGCAACAGCGGCCATCGATCAATTTCCTACAATAGACTCCGAAATGGCAGACATGTTTTGGCTCAATTGGACCCCGCTAGATGCCACGGCCTGTCTAGTTTAACCAGGAAAAAGTTGAATTTTCAAACCACTTGCGCCATTCTCCATTGTAACTCCCGGCGGTTCTTTTTTCATGAGAAACAACTCAACAAGCAGCCTTTTTTTACGTCCGTTGCTACTTCGAAGGTTCTTTATTTAGTGAGCTAGTTTGATTACCAGTGATTATTTGTAGGCAGTTTGTCTGACGTCATAAGGATCATTTCGCGAACGTCCTACTGCGGCGCATTTGTTCCCGTGCATTTACCTTCATTTCTCGGTAAGTAGGGCACTGCTGTTGATAATAATGTCGTGTTAGATGACATACATTGAGCTTTCACTGTCTCGTGAATTGTTATTTGTTAATTAAGCGTGTTTGAGTTAATGATATTTGACTGTATTGCACCAAAAACAAAGCGACAAAAGCATATTGGAGTGAGTTTAGACAAGTTAGATACATTTAAAACTGACAAAAAACAAATTCGACTCAACTTGCAAAAAGAAAGCTGTATGCTTCAAAAGTGTAGTATAGATTATTTTTTGCATTTTCAGGCAAGGCCGTTGCAGTTCATGCAGCCATCGCTGCACGCATCGCCACCGTCGCCACCACTACCGTCGCCACCACCACTATGGCCGTGCTCGCCATTGTCTCCACAAGGATGGTCAGCAACGCTGCCTTTGCCACCGCCGCAGCACTTACTGCTACCAAAGCTTCCGTCGCCTTCTTCAGAGCAGCCACGGATGCAGCCATGCCCATTGATGCCACCGGTACCACACCCTGGAACTACTTCAAGTGGTTCTCAAGAACCTACCAGCCAGGTGTGTACTTTTTAATTGAAATGGCTGTTTCTTTGTTTGTTTTTTTCAATCCGATTTAGGGGTTATATTGTCAGGCTAGCCTCCTGTACCTTTTAAGTTTGTTTATTTAATCATTATACATCTAGTTATTGTTAGTGGTATGCAGACAAGTATTTTAAAGTTGAGCAAATGCAGTGTGACCATCTGTCAACGTCGAATGGAACTGGTTGAGCAGGATAAAAATTTTCTCGCCGGGTTCCCCTGGCCAATTCGGAGCAATTTCCCGCTTTCTACTGGCAGATTCGGAGCAAACAACTCCGCAATGGGGCTTCCATGTTGTTTCATCTGGCAGAGGTAGATTTTTCTGGAACTTCGGCAATGCAGGGCTGTCATTTTTGGTACGATCGGGGAATAAGGTTGTCTTCAACGTTTTTTTTATGTGGTGTCTCATCGCCCTATGGATTTCTTTACATTCTAAAAATGACATCGTTTGACTTTGCTGGATGAACTGGCGGCTAAGTTTTGACAGTTGTAGCAGCAGCGACCACAAACCGTGTGTGGAAGTGATTAAAAAAAAGTTGCCTGACCGGCTGTGCAGATGCCCGAAGATCATCGGCTACGTCGAAATGTTCAGGAGCCGGTTCAAGTGTCATATGCATAAACAGCTTCTGGACACCTCATGCACAGCAATCATGTGTTCCAGTGGCAGATTTGGCTTGGTGTAAGGCGTTTTTAGATACTGTCAGTTGGGTAAGCACGCGCTGTCACAGCCGCGAGGACTGCCCCCTCTCATATCCCGCGGAGCGGCGGTGCTGCCGTCGCTTTGAGATTGGTGAAGGAGCGTCGTCTGCTACCTCTGCATGTGAAACAGCAGGAAATTAGTTTCCAAATTGCGACAAGATAGGAGAGGGTGCGGCGGAAGGGCGACCTTGAAAACCAAAACGCACGGGAAGGAGGCAGGTTGGGTAGCTTGCTTGATAGGTCCGCGAAACTCGCAAGTTCGAAAACTTGAAAAGAGTGCCTGCGCGCGCAGAAGTCAAAGCATGGCCGCCTGGATAAGTGCGCGGGGGTGTTCGAACAATCGGCGGCCGTGGTCAAAAAATCTGTTTGTTGCGCCGGCGAGTTTGCGTGGCCTCACGAACTTCGATATTTCGCGATTCGTCCCGCGCAAATTAACAGCCGTTTTCGCGCTTCCGCACATGCGCGGAAGGCATGCCGAGTCGAGTGCGAAGCGAGCGAGAACAAGTCCTTAACACGAAACGAATCACAAATTATCAGAGTCGGTGGGGTAGCGTACGCCCGTGCACTAGACGCAGACTATCGGATACAGTCGGTGGCCGACGATTTTGGCAAATGGTCTGGTCACTCCACGCCGGCGATGCCAACGACAGTACCAGCGATTAAAAACAGGGTAGATGGCCGACCGGTCTTCGAAAGATCGGTGGCAGTGTGAAAACGCGGGCCTCGTCTGGCGATGCAGGGCGCTCAGAGTACCGGGGGGACGAAGAACGGAGGGGTGTATAACAAAAAGCAGTCGGCACTTTCCTTTCTTTATGGGTTGGGGAGCAGCAACTAGAGGGTCGCTGAGGCAGGGTCAGCGTTTGACAATAAGAATGTATGGGCACCTCGCCGATGCCTGATCGGTGGTCGAAATCGGTTTCCCGGGAAGTCGGGAGACCACTGACTGTTCACTGTAACCAATCAGCGGTGCTCGGAGACGTTCTTTGTAAGTGCGATTTTGTGCCATTGAACCAATGTATATTTTCATGGTCACGCGGATATTGTTCGTTTGAAGAGAAAGTTCGTTTTAAGTGGGACCGTTATATGTGGGCTCGACTGTAGTTCTTAGTGATAAATAAGGTTCGGGCCTGTACCTAAGGAATGTACGATTATTTATGTATGTTTTGACCATTACCTGCAAGACTTTTCATGGAATAGCAGCTGTTCAGTCCTTGAGAACTGCAGGGTAACTTGGGGGTTCGAAGAAGTACTGCTGATCACAAGTGTTTTCCTCATAGGCATAGCCACTTAGACAGCCCGGCGCAATGAAAGGTCGGCATGCTTACTGTGTTAAGCTGCTAAATCACTCAAGCTTGCTTGATTGTTGTGTACCATGTTAAATACTATTTGCGTGACAGAAATCTAACCTTCAAGCTCCCGCCTCTGTAATCCGAGCAAGCAAACTAAAAGCAAAAAAAAACAAGTTCAACGCTGCCGCGGGAAGCCAGCGGTAGCTCGTTCTCAAAGCTACGTTAGCACCGCGTCCCTCTGAGCGTGTACGAGTCGGTGCCGCCTCCATAGCGGGCTTTCCCAACTGACAGTATCTAAAACGGTGTAAGCCGTGTGCTCGCTTCAAGACTTGGGCGGCTGTTCCGGATCTCTCAGTAGAATTCAACGTAATAATAGTTGTACACGTAGCTTTACTCACCATAAAACCTAAATGTAAATTTACAAAGATTTTTAAGCTAATTGCATATGCTTTTTGCATGAATAAACATTCTTGACAAGCTAGTTTTAGGAGATGATATTCTTCAAGTGTGTGGAGTAAGTTCTATAAATTAATCACTGTAAAATAGGATGTCATTCTGCCGTAATTAATGTAGGTTCAGGTGTAAGGAGGTTGTAATTATGGGTAAGCATTGCACAATTATTATTTTTGAACATTTTATAATAACTCAGTTCATACAAAAGCTAGTTTGAATACCGTTATGATTAAGTGATAACAAGTCAGATGCAAGTAGCATGAAGTTAGCCTAGACAAGGCTAGCAGCATTAGAGTAAAAAGAACTGTTGGTATTTATGTGTATGCCCCGATTCTGAATGTTCTCTATTGACAAAAGATTATTGTTATGCATATTTGCCCATGTAATACTGCCATAGGTGATTTGGCTGTTTATGATAGCAGGGCAACAATAAGGCATCACACAAAATAAGTAAAGAAGATTTAATGAGGGCTCGTACACCGAAGGCAGTTTTCTGTTTAGCATAAGCAATATGATGGGTAAACTTCACGTTAGGCTCAAGTTTTTGGCCTAGAAAACACGAAATTGCAGGAATTAATTTATGGTAGTCAAATAAAACGGAGCTTTGTTTTAGCAACTGTATAAACCATGAACCATGAAAACCTGAGTTTTAAGTGGGATTAAAATTAGGTTGTTTTATTAACACAATGTTGAACACTGATCAGTTTGTTGTGCATCTCAGTGATTGGGCTTTGAATAATTTATGGAGCATAAGCTGGAAAAACAATAGGGATAAAAGTTTCAGCAGCTGATATTGGGCTGAACAAAGCACAAATGAGGGCTGATAGTAATGCTGTGTCTGACAATTAAAAAAAGTTTTGGAAACGGCGCTTAACTTTCATACCTGGAAGCCATGCTGGCATAAGTGTGCCTAATATTTTTTATAGCTGATCGACTTTTCCTTTGTTCTGCCTTTTAGGGTTTGGGTGCCAGTGATGAACTGCCGCTGTTTTTCCAGGTGGACAATCAAGTGAGTAGCTTTACAGTAGCTTGGATAGTTAGGCTAGTTTGTATTCGTTCATCTTTTACCTGAATAAGGGCACGTACAGACACTTGAACACCGCTTATGTTGTGTGCATTTTCTTCTTCTAGTGTCCATCTTTGTGTGCATGCCCTTATTCAGTTCAACGATGAAGTAGCTAGCTCTACTTTTTGTAAATTTATGTTTATTCAGTGCATTACTTTCACTACTGGGTTGAATACATAGTTATGCAGCTTGCATTGCACTTTCACTTCTGTGTATGTTTATGCTTAGTTTATTCATCTACTACGGACAATTTGGAAATTATGAACTGGTGAATTTAGAGATTCGGGAGGTTATTTCCCGAATGACCAGTGCAATCTTCTGCATTACCCTTTCTTGGAATGTCACGGCACTCAGTACAGGCTTCATAAATATTTCTGTGACAAGTCCTAATGTCAGGAAAAAGGGGAATGAATTGAGGCTCTCTCTTTTTGATTCCTGAGTGCCTCATTATTGGACTTGACAAAAGAAATTTTCATCTGCAATGTGCCAGCGCACTTTTTGTCAGTGCCACCTCTAAGTTCCTTTTAGGGTGTCTGGTGGTCTCTAATAATTTAGTAAAATATTATGGACTCAACATTACTAACCACTGTAACACAACTGTAAGATATGTTACATAGTTGTTAATTTACCTTCCACACATATCTACAGCACTCGAAATTGTAAATATGCTTCTTTTTAAAAAGTCTTACAGCTTCTCACAAACTGTTCAGGTGAAACTTAAAGACAGCAATGATGTATGTGATTTGCTTTTCATTAATCATTGAAAGGAATGCTTTTTTGTTTCGCTGGAGCCACATTAGTGTAAAATTTCGAAATAGGGATTGTGTTGATGTTTTTCTAACTTACTTTACCACCCCACTTTTTGCCCAGTCTTTTAGTATCTAAAAATTAAAGATTCTCCTTGTGAAGGCTGGTGTAGTATTGTCAGTAATGAGCACTATATGCACCTGTAGACTTACATACATTCGGTGAACTGTACTTGCTTTAGAAAAAGAAGAATATTTGGATAACGTTTAGTATGCCAGTGTTATACAAGATGGCATGCAGTTGCAGAATTGAAATGTAAGATTCATCAGAACTACAGTAAAAGCTCGTTCATTCGACACCTGTTAATTCGGAAATTCGGATAATTCGGACGGCTCTATTGGTCCCGGCCAAAGTGCATGTAAATCTATGGGACCAAACCTTCGTTCTTTCATCGGAATTCGGCTCCGCACCGCCTTAATTCGAACAAATGCTGACGGCTGCTGCTACACAAAAGTGTGATAAAGCAGCGCTGGCACCACTGGAGTGAAATCAAAACCTGAGTGGCATTGCCATCATCATCAACTAGTGGGGGCGATCGCAGCATCACCAAACGTCGGCGTCTTCTTTCTTCTCCACTCTGCGCCTCCGACGCCATTTTCCCTTGTGTTGTCGTGTCGGAACCATCTCTTCTTGCAGAGTTCTCTTTTTTTTCCATTGTGACCGTATTTGCATGCCACCACCATCGTGCGCTACAGTGATGGCAACGCCGAAAAAGCGGCAGAACTACGACGTGAACAACTTGGCGACTGAAGTGAAAATTTTGGAAGCACTGAAGAACGGCGAATCGCGACAGCAGGTTTTGACCAAGTACAACGTGAAGCGGAGCACGTTGGGAACGTACGTGAAAAATGAACAACAGATTCGACAAGCCTTCGAAAGCGAGAAGTTTCATGCCTCTAGAAAGCGGTTGTGAACCGCAGCTCATCCCCAGCTTGAAGAAGCTTTGCTCCGGTGGATTACTGACTGTCGTAACGGGCATCTGGCTTTGAGCGGACCTCTCATCATGGCGCAAGGTGAGAAGTACGCTGTAATGATGAAAATTGAATCGTTCAAAGCGTCACAAGGGTGGTTTCCGAGGTTTCGAGAGAGACGCGAACTTGTCTTCAGGAGTATGTGCGGCGAAAAGGCCAGTGTTGACGAAAGCGTGACCGACGATTGAAGAAATGTGAAGCTGCTGGAGTACATCGCCGCTTATGAACCACGTGACGTGTTCAATGCAGATGAAACTGCTCTATTTTTCAGAGCTCTGCCCGACAAGACGGTGACTTTCAAAGGGGACGCGTGCATTGGTGGCAAGAAGTGCAAGCAAAGGATAACTGTGCTTCTTGCCGCCAATATGACTGGCACGGAGCGCTTGCCACTACTTGTTGTCAGGAAGGCGCTTAAGCCACGTTATTTTAAGAACGTCAAAAGCCTTCCTGTCTAGTACACAGCGAACAGGAAGGCATGGATGACATCGGACATTTTTCGCGGCTGGCTGCAGCAGTTGGACCGGCACTTCACATCGAAGTACCGCAAGATAATTATGGTTGTTGACAACTGCTGTGCCCATAACTGTACAGTCGAACTGAAGGGCATCAAAGTAGTTCTTTTGCCGTCCAACACTACGTCTGCTCTTCAGCCGATGGACCAGGGTATCATTCACTACGTGAAGTCGAAGTACCGCAAGCACCTGCTAGAGCGAATGATCTTATGCTCAGAAGCTGGAAATTTGTATTAAGTGGACTTACTCAGCGCAGTGCACATCATCGCCCACGTGTGGAGAAACACTCCGCCGCAAGTCATCACCAACTATTTTCGGCACAGCGGTTTTGTGAGGCCCGAGCATGCAGCAGTAGCTGACGATGGCATCGAGGAGGTGTCAGCCGAGTCCACCGACGATGACTGCCCGACTTTCGATGCTGTCCTTCCGACAGATGTGACCTTTCAGGACTACATCGCGATTGATCATGGTGTCGCCACGAGTGATCTCCTGACCGTTCAAGAGATCATTAATGATGTCACGGGCGCCCATGAATACCACGATTCCGACAAAGAATCATGCGAGGAGATACAGCCGCGACCTCATCGCACCTCACGGGAAGTCTCGGAGGCGCTGTTAATATTAGAGGACACTTGCCTGAACAATCCTGACAGCTTGCGTGCTGTTGGCCATTTGGAACAGTTAAGAAAAATTGTGATGTCAGCCGGAATCTGCGCCAAAACGCAGACGACAATTACAAAATACTTCAACATATAAAGGTATGCTTCTGCAGCTTGATTTTAAATGTTGTTTTCCCTGTTCATTCGTTAATTCGGCATTCGGTTAATTCGGACAGTTTTTCTGGTCCCGTGAAATTAAAATAATGAGCTTTTACTGTATTTGATTACATACGAGCAAAACTACACTCGCACGACCAAAGAGCGCAACTAACATTTTCAAAAACAAGATATCTCTTGAGTCTTTTATTATGATTTCACATTCTTTTTTGCACAGATTCACCTAGGAAACGGCATATTCCTGGAGCAGGAAAATGGGCATGGCTGCTTTTGCGTCCGAGAGACAGCTTGTTCTGTAAGGAGGCGACAAAGCTTCTTTGGGGTGTGAGTGCCCTTCACAACGGGAGCATCACAGGAGCCCCTTGTCGGCGCTACGTGCGCTCGGAATACCAAGCACCACCCAGGAGGGCACTCACGCCTAAGAAATTGGAGGCAGTCGGAAGTAAGTGTTTCATGCTTAGTTATTTTGCTGAATTTAGGGACAATAAAATTTATCAACTATATGAACCAGTAAGTCAATAATTGCTACATATTCCTGCTTATTTTTACAGATGCCTTCAGCAAGTACATTGCTGGGAGACAAATTGAAGTGGCAGCAATTGAGAGGCTAAGAAAAATGAACAGATTTCTTGCTGAAATGTTGAACGACCTAAATAAATGAGTCGTCAAAGCATTGCTCTAGCCTGATCGTGTTTATTTGATATCATTGCAGCATACCTACATTACATTGTTTATTTTACTGTGTGCTTCATGAACTGGCATGCCTTTCTTAATACATTCTGTTACTGCTTGTTAATTTTGACCAAAATAGCTAATCAAACCCATATAACCTGCATAACCTGTAATACCCATACATTCGTTACACTTATACCACCTATATGAGCCGTACCACCTGTATGACCCGCACCACCCGTATGACCCGTACCACCCATATGACCCGTAACACCTGTATGAGCCATACCACCTATATGCCCCGTATCCAATAACATCGTATGTGCAGGTCCTGTACATGTAGAATTTTCAGTAGGGGTATAAAATATTTTTACAAACAGAATGAATATGTTGCTGAAATTTCAGATGTGCGCCCATTAAAACTCCTAAAAATGGCGTATGATCATTTAAAAATAACTACTTTATTCACATAAAGGTAAGAAATGAATGCTAGTGTTTTGTTTGGAGAATGAGAAAGCATTAAACAGGTTTTGGAAGGAATAATCAACAATCTATTATAGTTGCACCAGTCAACAAGACAATTAAGGTCAGCTTGAAGTCTGGACACGAGAGTCGCTAAGTCCAAGTGATGAGAAAAAAGAGTCGTGTCATCAGCGTAAAGTAAACAAAAAGAATAATTAGGGCAACTTGGTGAATTATTTGTTAATATCAAAATAATAACGAACCCAAAATGGAACCTTGTGGAACACCTCTGGTAATAGGGTTGGGACTGGATGTAAAGTTTTTCACCGAGACCGCCTGAAACCCATTAGGAAGAAAGCTCTGGAATAGCGTTAATGTCGGACCAGTTCTACCATAATACTATTGTTTGCGAAATTAGGTGAAATGATCAATACTATCAAATGCTTTAGTAAACTCGACGAAGACAGATCCTGCGATCTTACTATTATCGCTGAATGATCTGATTTCGTCAGTGAAACAAGCAATTGCGGTATCAGTGAAAACACCAGCCCTAAATCCAAGCTGACAAGAAGAAAGTATGTTAAGTTTGCCTAAATATTTAGATATTTTTAGTTTAGTTTGTTTTTTCAAAATTTTACCCAGAAAGAGAAGGACAGATATGGGCCTGTAATTACACATACAGAGGGGATCACCTTTTTTAAATACTGGCACTACATTTGCAACTTTTAATTTTGTCGAGAAAACACCGTTCTTCAAACCGCGGTAAAAACGTGGCTTAATATAGGCGCTACAAGAGATCTTACAAGTTTAATGTGCTTTGAGCGGATGTTCTCTAACCAAGCTTCGGTAGCTTTTAATGCTGAAATAATCGTGGAAATTTCAGAAGCACAAGTACGAAAAAGAAACATCGACTGAGGACTGTGAGAAAACGGAGATACATTGGGGAGGAGGGGACTGCAAGGCTAGTAGAAAGGTGTGCATTAAAGGCGTTGGCCACGTCACTGGCCGCAGTGAGGGTGACGTTGTCGACACGAATAGAGGTCATTTTTCTGTGCGACTGAGTGGAATTTAAAAATTCTTTTAAAAGCTGCCATTTTTTCCCCTGAGATATGTCCACTTTTCTGTAGTTTCCGCTCATATAACTTTGTTTCACCTTTCTTAAAGGTGTACCCAATGTGCTGGAGTAAGTTTTATAGCATGATTTCAAGCACGAATGAAAAGGCTGACGTTTCGTCTTTTTGTATGAATTCTCTTTTTTGCGAAATGATCGTATCAGTGATTGTAATAACCAAGGGCCCCACGGTGTCCCTTGGTTATTGTAAGTAGCGTCTGTTAGATGATTGCAATGTAGTTGTACGCTCAACTCCTGAATAAACAGCGTCGTATAACCTGGTCAAGGCCTCTTCAGGATCATTCGCGGCATATACACTGGACCAATCTTCATCGGCAATGAGCATGCACTACTTGTCTCAATCAAAGCGATACATTTGACGCATTACGTTGCTACGAGTAATGACCTGTTCAAAATATAGTAATACAGGAAAGTGAGCTGCGATGTCAATCTCAATGACACCAGCATGACTGACGTCATCAATGTTCGTGAGGATGTGATCGATTGATGACTGTGAGCCGTTATCAGAACAGCGTGTTGGTACAAATATTAGCCATTTAAACCCAAAACTATAAAAAGAAGTCTTATACTCGAGAGCAGAATGGTTAGAGGAATCTAGTAGATCAAAGTTCATATCACCCATATTTACTAAATTCTACGCTCAGCAGTAAGTTTATCAAGCAAGTGATGAAGCGCAATACAAAAACCAGAGGGGTCACTGGAAGGGGATTGATAGACGGTAGCAAGAACAGTTTTTCGTTGATTCTGATAAAGACCCGGCAGATCAATTTCCAGCCGAAGAGATTCACATTTAGCCACATTTAGGTTTCAATTATTGCGCTTTTATACAGAATGTTGTTTGATATAAAAATGGCTGAGCTACCAAGACGATCATCAGTTTAGTGAGAGTATTCGCCTATATAACAGGGAGAGCCTTACAAGTCACCCTGACCAGGTGATAACCAAGTTTCGGAGCAACAGATAGCCGAGAACTGATGATTAGGGGAAGCTAGTAGAGCAGTAATACTGTCAAGATTTTTAGGAAGGCTACGAGCATTGAAATGAATCCAAGAAAAACCCAGTTCGAAAAAAACCCCGAAAAAAAACCCATAAAAACCGGGGTGGTTCCCGTGACAAGTCATTATGCCTTTATTAATAACGCACACACAGTAGTGTATATTTTCTGCGCAAGTCACATGAAAGTCAACACGTCACACAGTAATATTGACATCACGTTACTGGTACGCTGCCATCACGATGCTCGTATGTTGACATTACATTGCTGCTATCTTACCAAAACATTGCTGTGATGTTGAAAATGTGATCTTGGACGTTGCCATATGCGCCTGAATGTTACAAGAACCATTATCATGTCATCGAAAAAGAGGACGTTAAGCGCATATAGACAACGTTGCTGAATGACATCTGGGCGCTTTCATTCAACGTCTTTATAACATTCTGCGTTACTCGGGTAGCCACGTTCTGGGTTGCACAATAGATAACGTTAGTGGTATTCACAGTGCATACACGGATAGAATGATGATTATAGGGGCGAATCGTTCGTCCATGTATCCATGCGTCTTTCTGTCCGTTGTTATGACCGGCGTCGGGCTGACAAGGGATCGGCCTTCCTCTTGATGGTTAAACAAGTCGCCGACTGGTCGGTGGCCTACTTCCGCCAGGTATTGTTTTCCCCTGGCCGGAGAGTGAAGCGTCTCGCCGCCCTGATGCGGTAAGCTGTTCGGGAGACGACTACAAGTGCAGCTACTTTTTACAAGATGACGGCGGTGGCGGCCACAAATCGCCCTGCTAATTAAGCGGGCAAATCGGCAGACCATTTTAAGCTTGTTTGCAGCAGCCCTTTTGGTGGATGCCGTCATGAGCTTCAGGCCCCTGGCCCAGCGACACACATCGACAAAAAAAGAGCCACGTTTGTGCCACCGGGCCGTGCAGAAACCATGCCTCAATATCGGACATTCATGTGGGCCATGCATGCCCGTCACCCTCACCGGTTTTGTGTGATCAGTGATTGGACAGTACGGATTCTCTGATCTAGGGATCTGGGGAGAACATCTCCACCTGGCACCAAACCGGTCAGCCCTATAAGAAAATCTGAAAACACCCTACCTAAAGAAAGATATAGGAACCCGGATGAAGATGAGGCATCTCGAGAAATAGACTGCACTATAAAGATGTTAAACATAAATCCTACAGACCTGATAGCAGAACAGGAAAATGATTCCGCTCTCCGTAAATTAACGCCAGACGCGAAGGAAGGAGTAGCTAATGAGAACATTCATTCAGCAAGAAGGGGGGTGCCCTGTACAGGAAGTACACGAGTCAAAAAGGAGTCCGTTTAATCAACTAGTCGTACCGCATCCTTTCCGCAAGGAGCTTCTGCACCTGGTCCACGGACGTTTGTAGTCAGGGCACCTTGGCATACAAAAAAACAAAAACAAAAGAATGTTTGCTACGGGAGTTTTACTGGCCCAGATGCTTTCGGGAGGTGGAGGCATTCGTAAGAAGCTACGACACAGGCCAACGCGTTGACAGGCCAGGGGATAAAGCTAAAGCACCTATGAAGCTGGTCCCCATTATCACACAGCCGTTTCGCTGGCTAGTTATAGACACGGTAGTTCCACTTCCTGTAACGCAGTCCGCGTACCGGCTTATATCACAGTGCTCTGTCCAGTCACGAAATTCCCGGAAGCAGTACTTTTAAAGGAGCTCCGCTCGGAGGAGATAGAGCACTTTTATCCATCTTTGCACGTGTGGGCTTCCCCGCAGAAATTCAGTCAGACGAGGGATCTGTTTTTACAACTTCACTGACCTCGACATTTCTAGAAAAATGTGGCGTTAAAATTATCGAGAAGTTCAGTGTACCACCCTCGGTCAAATGACGTAGAGAAGGTACATTCAGTATGAAACGGCTGCTACGAGCCCTTTGTCATGAGAATAAAGAGGCTGGGGGGGGGGGCTTGCTTTCCCGCAGCTATGTTCACGCTTCGGATCGCTCCCCACGAATCAACAGGGTTTTCACCTGCGGAGCTTGTTTACGGACGTACTCTTCGGTCCCCACTTCG